TGATTAAAAATAGGTAAGAAAGTAACCAATGGGATATTTTTGAGTCCATCTCTCACACTCCGCTGTTGGTCTTTAAAAGGACTTGTGTCTCCTTTCATTGCTCATTGGCCAAAAAACATCTGGATGATCCCTGAGACGTCTGGGAAAACTTTCTGTGGGCTGACGAGACAAAAGCTGAACTGTGATTCTCGTTACATCTGGATCAAACTAACAACAGCTCATAAAAAGATCACAACAACAGTCAGACATGGTGATGGTAGTGTGATGGGCTGGGCTGCTGCTGAATTCTGCTCCTGAATGTCTCCACCAGAAAAACCTGAAGGAGCTTCGACCATCACTTCCTGCTCTGCAGCTAAAGAGCACTTGGGTAATGCAGCAGGACGATGATCCAAAACCAGCAAATTCTCCTTAAAAAAAGTTTTTGAGTGGCTGAGTCCAGACTTAAATCAGATTAAGAAAAAAACCAAATGTTTTTTGACCACTCAGGGATCCTGCATTTACCTGCAACGATGCTGAGAATGAAAAGGCACCAAAAACACAAACCCACTCATGCTGCCACAGTATGACTCAAGAAACAAGTTCAAACTTTGCTTAAAATTCCAACCTTTGTTTTTATTAGCAACAGTTTCTTTATCAGGACTTTGTTGTGCACATTACAATCACTAATTACCATAATACAGGTTATACACATTTTACCTTATAGACAAAAACTTATGCAAATCAAATATGTCAGCATAGGTGGAGCAGTTCATGTAATTTTGCAAGTTCAGTAATTTAAAAACACATAAATTCAGAGCTGAATGAAGATGTTTGACTTCATCATTTAACAACAATCAGAGCTGATTACAGAGAAAAACTGTTTACATTAATAATTAAAGAAAACACGGATAACATCTTAGTTCTGCCATAAAACTGGTGTAAATGATATGCAGATATGTTTTTATAATGAATAACTGCTGTGATATTTGGAGAGAACAGGTTAAATTATAACAAAATTAAAAAAATTATTTATTCATCATAAGTGAAAGAAAAATAATCATTAAGTTTTCTTTCACTTGTTTATTTATTCATCTTGTGTTTATTATTAATGACACATTTATGCAAAATAAACAAAAACAAAAAACAATCATAATCAAACCACAAATATTGACAACAGAACAATATATGAAAGAACATCAAGATTCCTTTTAACAACAATCTAATATTAAAAAAGAAAAAAAAAAACATTTTGGTCGAATGGTGATTTTGACCAAACCAAAGAAAATCATCCACATGAGTAATTTTGCTTACATAGTGCAGGTTAACGTGTAAATCAAAATGATTATTATTGGTTATGAGTGGAGTTAGTGGGCGGATGGCCACGCCCCTCCCTGAACCTGGTTCTGCTGGAAGTTTCTTCCTGTGAAAGGGAGTTTTTCCTTCCCACTGTCACCAAAGTGTTTGATCATCTGATTGTAGGGTTTCTCTGTATTGTTGTAGCGTCTTTTCGTTACCATATAAAGCCCCTTGAGGCGACTGTTGTTGTGATTTGGTGCTATATATATATAAATAAAACTGAACTGAACTATTTGAGATGATATCCAATCAGCAGCTTTTTCTGTGGTCGTGATGAACAATCATGTGTAAAACATGCAGAACAACAAGTCTGCACATGTTGTTTGTTTCTGTCCTCTAACAGTTAAAGAACAGCTGTAAAAGTGGATTTCTCTTTATAAAATGCTGCAGGTCGACGCGTCCTTGATCTCTTCATTCAAAATTTCTTGCATTAACTTATTTAGTTGTTCTTCGTGTTCTTCCTGGAGGTTTTCGATCCCCTCTTCATTTGTCACAGATCTCATTTCTTTTTCATGTTTTTGCATTAAATTCTTGATCCTATTCGAATAGTCAGTCTTTTTGGTCACACGTCTCACTAAGTCGTAAATTTCCTTCTTATGTTCTTCCTTCTGAGCTGCTAAATCATCCACGTGTTTCTTCTGGGCTTGATTGAACTCTTCAGCTTTCTTTCTGGCTTCCTGTTCATGTTTCTTCTTTAGATCATCCAGAGTTTTCTTATGAATTTCCTCCAATTCTTTTATTTCCTCTTCTCTTCTTCTTTGATCGTCTTCTTTATTGATTTTTTCACATTTCAGCTTTTCATTATAATCTTCCTGTAGTTTTTCCATTTTTTCTTTCTCTTCCTCTCGTCTTTTGTCTTCGTCTTGTCGTTGTTTGTCCCACCATTCTTTCTGTTCTTTCTCCCACTCCTCTTGTTTTCTTCTCATCTCTTCTCTGGCTTCTTCCAGTTTTCTGTCCACATTTTCTTTTGCCTCTTTTTCTGACTGAATTTGTTTGTCCAGCTTTTCAAGTTCTTTTTCAAACTCTTGTCGACGTCTTTCTTCTTCAGCTTCCTTTTCCCTTTTCTCATTTTCCCTGATTTCCTGTTCCTGCTTTCTCTTCTCTTCTTCTTCTCTAATTTTATTTCTCATTTTTTCGAGTTCTTTTCCTCTCTGTATTCTCTCCTTTTCTCTTTCTTCATCCATTCTTTTCTTCATAGCCTCCATTTCTTCCTTATGTTTTCTTTCAAATTCTGCCTTTTGCTCCTGAATCTCTTCTTCCTTCTTCTTTAAAATCCTCAGCATCTCCTTCCTTATCGCAGTTTCAGCCTCTTGCAGCATCTCATTGGTGTAGAAGCTTCCTCCATTGTCCTTCACCATGGTGTCAATCTTTGTTATCAGCTCACTGACTTGTGTGCGGTTTTGTTTGTCAGAGTTATTGAACACATGGTATCTTCCTCCACAGTCAGAGATCAGCTTCTTAAAGGAACTGTGACATTTCTTCTTGATGTAATCATCAACAGACTCTCCCTGACGCTCCAGTTCATCACCTCTTGTTAAAAGAACGATGGTGAACTTTTCAGAATTCTTCCCAAAAAATTTCTTGATGAGTTTCAGTGTCTCCTTCTCTTCTGCTGTGAATCTGCCGATCTGTACAACCAGTAGGAAGACATGTGGTCCTGGAGCCAGGAGACTGACACATTTCACCATCTCCTCTTGAATTTCTTCATTGGACAAACTTGTGTCAAACAGACCAGGAGTGTCGACCACAACAACAGGACGACCGTCCACCTCACCGTGTACTTTCTGACAACATTGTGTGACTGACATTTGACTTGATGCAGCTTCAAACTCATCTCTTCCTAAAATGGTGTTTCCTGTAGAGCTCTTTCCACAGCCGGTCTTCCCAATCAGCACAATCCTGAGACAGTCTGAGTCCTGTTCTCCACCTTCACCAACTAAAACATGAAAACAAGAACAAGTTAACACTTGTATACTGGATTAAAACTCTGGGTCATTGGAAATAGAAAATCTAAATTACTTACCAGTGACAAGTTTTAAGACTTTCTCCATTTGTGCGTGTAAAAATGTTGTAGTTGTATAACAGCACAGTTGTCCTGTAGGCTGACTAATTTTGTCCACAATCTCAAACATCTCTGGGATCTGCTGTTTGTTCTTGGTGTTGAGAACAACTGATCTTCCTCCACAGCTCTGGAGGAGCTTCTGGATGTTCTTATTTTCCTTTAAAAAGTTACCAACAGCTGGATCTGTAGGATCTGAGTCCACAGTGAACAGAATCATGGTGAAGTCATTGACTCGAGAGCTGAATGTGTCCTGGATGGTCTCTAACTCTCCCTTGTCTTCATCAGTGAGGTGAGCCACAGGTAGGACCAGGATGAAGGCATGGACACCCTCAGGATCACAGAGGGAGATACACTTGAATGATTCCTCCATCACTGCCTCCTGAGGTTTTCCATACAAGGCAGGCAGCTCCACCAGGGAAACCCAACGTCCACACACCTCTCCCTGATGTTTAACACACTCTGATGAGTTGGAGGCTGGATGAAGCTCAGTCTGACCTAAAATGGCCTTGGCTGCTGACGTCTTCCCTGCTCCTCTCCTCCCACACAGAACCAGGTTCAGACTGGACTTCAGATTGGGTTTAGCCTCTTCTTTTAACGTTAGATATTTTCCCCAGTTTTCACTCACCATCTCATTCATTTCTGCCATCAACTCTGAATAATCTGTAGCAGAACAATTTTTTTCAAACCAGTTCTGCCTTTGGTTGCAGTCTTCAATGAGTTTTTCCACTGAGTTATTGCCTTTCTCCTCTTTCTGTGTTATAATGACCATTGAGTGTTTAAGGGCATCTTGACCAAACAAGCTCAGGACCAAATTCAGAGTTTTTCTGTCCTCTTCGGTGAAATCAGAAGGTTTGACTAACAGCAGCAGAACGTTTGGTCCAGGAGGACAGAGACTCACACAGCTCTTCATCACTTCGAACAGAGTTTTCACAGACAGACTGAAGATGTCGGGGGTTTTGACTACTGTTAGCGGTTTCCCTTTCCACTCTCCAGAGGCAGCGCGACATTGCTTTCCTCCAAGGACTTTAGGCATATTAAACTCTTTCTTTCTAATGATGATCTTTTCAAGGGATGATTTTTTGTTCTCACTTTTTCCAAAAAGCATTATCCTGAGTTCATGTGCTGAAAAACAAAGATAAAACTTGTAAATTACCTTTAAAATTGTGACACACAGACTTTTGTCACCACAGTTTTACTACATTCTGTTACAGGGTTTGAAACATTAATAAGATCACCTGATTGGTTAAATACCACCACCATTTACTTATTTTTCCTAAAACAGTTAGCTGATGATTGCTCACGATAACAAGAAAACTGCAGATGCACTCTCTACTCACAGCGCACAACCAGTATCACCTTTTAATATCATCTGCCCCTCTGTGAATCGCTGCCTTATCGTGGTTGAGGGGCTTGTGTGTTCCAGGGATCCCAGGTGCTATGCTGTTGGGGGGCTTTTGCCACCTGGTTGTGTGTCCCATTACAAGTTGGCCCTGAGTGAGAGACCAGACACTAAGCCATTTAGAAGACCCTTATAAGACCCTTACCAGACCAAGGGAACAGTTTACCCTGTCAGGCATCCGGTTACCTGGGCCCCATTTTGGAGCTAGGACATGGGAGGTGACCCGAGGGAGAGCATCTGGTGACTTGCCTTAGCCCATAGAGCCTGGCCGGGTGCAACCTGAAGAAGGAACATAGGCCCATCCTCCTTTAGGTAACCCATCTTAAGATGCCATAGAGGTCGGGTGCAATGTGTGTACTAAGAACGTTGACACTGGCAGACTGATCCCTGCTACAGAGATTGGTGACTTGGACATGGACTCTCACCTCTCTGGTGGGGAAGGAGCCTGAGCTAGTGCATGAGGCCTGGGAATGCTTTGGTATTCCACCGGATAAGCTAGAGGAGTTGTCGAGAAAGAGCAAGGTGTGAGGTTCTCTGCTTAGGCTGCTGCCTCCAGAAACCAGAGTCTGGGGACAACAGGGACAAAGTCATCCCTCACCATAGGTGAGGACACAGAGGCAGTTATACAACTCGTTGGTGGCAGAGCCCCTGGGGTGGATGAGGTTTGCCCTGAGTTCCTGAAGGCTCTGGATGTTGTAGGGCTGTCTTGGTTCACACACTTCTACAGGATCTCATTGAGAGCCTTTAGATTGGTAAGTGTAAAATTATGATATTATTTTATGCCATGTTATACCCCTAATTAAAGATTGTGAATTATTATGTAGTTTTAGTTTGCATTATTCTCCTGAATTAGAAGAAGCTGATAACTATTGCATTAGTTAAACTGATTTGCATTACATTAAACTGCTGACTTGTTGTGAATGAATGATATTGTTTTATGATGCATTATACTGCTGAGTTATAAGAAATCTAATTTGTCTGAGTAGAAGAGAACAGAGTGTGCTGGAGTTTTCTGCCCCATTTCAGCAGGAGCAGATAAACAGGGAGCCAAGGTCGTAGCTTAGGCGCTGTGTGAGAGAAAGCATGTGAATGTTTAGGCTTTGTATGATAAGGTGGAGGCACCAGAGGCTATAAAAGTTTGAGCAATGCTCCACCATTTTGAGATTTTGAGGCTGTCTGCATCAGTGTCCATCTCCCACGTGTGTGATCATTAAATCATCGTTTGACTCAACCCGACCGGACCAGTGTTGTTATTGTGGTTTTTCTCTTGTCTCCATCCCCAATATTTTTGAACCATAACATAAGCCAGGGTGGGGGTTCTTATCCTCAACAAGGTGGACATAAGGGGGTGCTCCAACTACAGTGGCTTGCAAAAGTATTCGACCCCCTTGAACTTTTCCACATTTTGTCATATTACAGCCACAAACATGAATCAGTTTTATTGGAATTCCACGTGAAAGACCAACACAAAGTGGTGCACACGTGAGAAGTGGAACGAAAATCATACATGATTCCAAACATTTGTTACAAATAAATAACTGCAAAGTGGGGTGTGCGTAATTATTCAGCCCCTTTGGTCTGAGTGCAGTCAGTTGCACATAGACGTTGCCTGATGAGTGCTAATGACTAAACAGAGTGCACTTGTGTGTAATCTAATGTCAGTACAAATACAGCTGCTCTGTGACGGCCTCAGAGGTTGTCTAAGAGAACATTGGGAGCAACAACACCATGAAGTCCAAAGAACACACCAGACAGGTCAGGGATAAAGTTATTGAGAAATTTAAAGCAGGCTTAGGCTACACAAAGGTTTCCCAAGCCTTGAACATCCCACGGAGCACTGTTCAAGCCATCATTCAGAAATGGAAGGAGTATGGCACAACTGTAAACCTACCAAGACAAGGCTGTCCACATAAACTCACAGGCCGAACAAGGAGAGCGCTGATCAGAAATGCAACGTGGAATTCCAATAAAATTGATTCATGTTTGTGGCTGTAATGTGACAAAATGTGGGAAAGTTCAAGGGGGTCGAATACTTTTGCAAGCCACTGTATATGGGGATCACATTCCTCAACCTCTCCAGGAAAGTCTGTTCCAGGATGATGGAAAGGAAAAGTCCATGCTTTAGTCAAAACTCGGACACAGAAGGAACAATGTGGTTGTAGTCCCAATCATGGAACACTGGACCAGCTCTTAACCTCGCAGAGATATCTGAGGGTGCATGGAAGTTTGCCCTACTCGTCTACATGCGTTTAGTGGACTTGGAGAACGCCTTTGACCTTGTCCCTCAGAGTATTCTGTGAGAAGTTCTTCAGGGGTATGGAGTGTTTTGCCTGTTGCAGCAAGCCATTTGATTCTTCTACAACCATTGCTAGAGCTGGGTCCACACTGCTGGCAACAAGTCAGACTCCTGGTGGGTGTTGGACTCCAGCAGGACTGCCCTTTGTCACCAATCCAATTCATTATTTTTATGGACAGAATTTCTAGGTGCAGTCCAGTGGTGGAAGGCACAAATTCGTCTCTGCTTATTTTTTCAGATTATGTGTTTCTCATCAGTTTGACTCGTCAGGTGGTGTCCTCCAGCTCGCATTGCAACAGTTCACAGCCAAGTGTGACGTGGCGAGAATGAGAATCAGCACCTCTAAATCAAAGGCCATGGTCCACAGTTGGAAGAGGTTCTCCACCTTCTATCAAACTGGAATCGTTCAAACCTGAACTGAAGTTGGAAAGTTCACAGCTAGACGCAGATGATCTCACCTCTCCGTAATCCATGACTTTCTAAAATAGTTTCCTAGAACTGTTATCAAGCTAAACACCTTTCTTACCAACAGTACCTTAGGCTACGTCCACACGTACACGGGTGTTTTTGAAAATACGGTATTTTCTATGCATTTGGGCCTTTCATCTACACATTAACAGCATTCTGGGTCACTGACAGCTGAGATTTTAAAAAACTCCTGCCAGGGTGGAGATTTTCAATTTACTCACGCAACATCAATGGTGTGCGCCGTTTTTGACGTCACGCTGTGCGCCACGTTATTGTTTACATGAGATGAATTTCAACAATGGCGGATAAAGACAAAATACTGTCTATCTGCTGTTAATCTTACTATCTGCAGTTTTCACAGGCTTACATACACACACACAGTTACTGTCCCTCCGTTAAGAAAGACAGAGGCGTCAGAGTGAACTTCGGACGTGGTTTCTACATTCAACACAGACGTTGTCACAACCCAAATCCCGACGTCCGTTTTGAATAAATCTAATATTTTTTCAGTTACATTTCTGTATGCTCTATGCATGTGGTTCATTCCCAACGTGTGAGTCTACACAACAGCCAAAATACTGTCTTTAGTTATTAACATTTGAAATAATGAAAGCACTTGAAAATGGCACTTGCAATGTAACACAAAATTAGCTGCCTTTCAGAAAAACAATAACATTTCAGAAGTACTGAAGGTTTTGTCAGGATACAAAGGCCTGTTTACTCTTTCCTTCCCAGGCTTCTATACTTCCGATTGGCCAACATTTCATTTTTAGCGTTTACATGTGGACGGGATTATATTTAAGAGCTGCATCATTTTAAAAAAAGTCATCTCCAGGATTTCTTTCAGAAAGGTAGTGAGCCAGCAGTTGTCACGAGTTTCCAGACAGTTTTACAAACCTGACCATCACATTATACTGTACAGAAAACACAGTTTTAGACTCACCGCCCCTAATAAGATCCAAGCTGGCAGAGACTTTTTCTTCCTCATCTTGACTGGGTGAAACCGATGTTTCCTCACTGGAAACTTCCTCCCTCGTGCTCTTCTTCACCACTGTATCTATGGCTGCTAACAGCTGCTCTTGTTCCAGGTTCTTCTGCCACAACAATTTTTCTCTACATTTCTTGATAATCTCTCCTAACTGTGGATGCTGCTGATACTTTTCAATGGAACTTGAACTCTTGTCTTTGGGCATTATCAGAGCCAGTGAACGATCAAATGATGGATCACCGAAGAGTTCAAGGACTCTTTGTAGCCTCTGTCTGTGATCCTCAGTGAAGTCTGCAGGCTGGAGGACCAGCAGAAACACATGAGGTCCAGGAGCAGACAGTCTCACACAGTCCTCAACTTGTTTCCTCAGATCTTCTGGGGAGATTTTAGGAGACAGCAGATCTGGAGTGTTGATGAGATCGATTTCTTTCCCCTTCAGCTCCCTTTTGACTCTCAGACAGAGGTCTGCTTTATCCTCAGAGCTGAACACAGTCACTCCCAGTATGAAGTTGCCCACTGAGCTCCTCTTAGACCAGCTGTTCCCCAGCAGAACGACCCTCAGCTCAGACACTGAAAAATAAGTTCAGTTTCTGAAACACTGAGTTTATTTTAAACACACATTTTTAAATTATTCATTGATTTTTTTGTAGAAACTATAATATTCATGCCTCATTCTGTGATGTTTTAACCACATTTTCTTCTCCTTTTGTAAAAGAAATGAAACGATTATGCTCTTCAGTCTAAAACAGTTTAAACATGTAGGAGACGAAAGTTAGCCTGTTAATGTCTAATATTTTATCCATGTTGTAAGATGTGCATATTGGTAATAATTTAGATTCCAATGGTTATAGATAAGGAAACACTTAAATAAATGAGGAAATTAATTTTACTTTAAAATCACATTTTAGCATCATTTTCATGGTTATTTAGTGTTTTTCTACTTTTTTAGTTGCTGTTGCTTTAATCCGCTGTAATAACGCCCATGCTGGGCAGTCGGACCTCTGCACTGTGGAGGCTGTAACCAGTGTTGGGGAGTAACGGAATACATGTACCGCCGTTACGTATTTAAAATACAAAATATGAGTAACTGTATTCCGTTACAGTTACCGTTTAAAAAGGTGGTATTCAGAATACAGTTACTTTGTTGAAATAAATGGATTACACTGCGGGATTTTCCTGTGTCATAAGGCTCTGTCCTCTCTATATTTGGTAATATTTTTGGTGAGTGCGAGGGAGGGAGAAAAAGGAAAAGTACAACTTGTCATGGAGCAGAAACGGGAGCTGGAAGCATGTAAATATAATAACAACCACTGCAGCCTGACGAGCCCAGCTGTGAGTAAGCTATTAAGACTCGACTGTACGCTGTGTTCCTGTTTCCTCTGAAACAATAAGTTCTGTTGCAGCAGCCTTTCAACGCCTCTCTCTGTCTCTGCTAGCAAAGTGACCCAGACAACAAAGTAAAGCTAGTTTTCAGCTACGAGCCCGACACGAACCCGACGTATTAGCCAGAGGTCCCTTTACTACGGTTCGGAGCCGCGGACCTGTTTTATATACGCACGGAATAGTTTTCTACACGAGATCACTGCAAAAAGTGCAGCCTTACCTAATGTCCACCTACTGTTACTCATTTACATCAAGATTTAAACATGTAGCTGGTGTTGGTGTGGAGAGTAACCTGCAGTAATAGTAATAAATCACACAGCAATAGTTCATTCATTATCATGCTTTTTACAAAGTAATCCAAAGTATTCAGAATGCGTTAGGAAATACATTTTGGGACATGTAATCTGTAATCTGTAGTGGAATACGTTTTAAAAGTAACCTTCCCAACACTGACTGTGACTCACTGTGGAGTCAAACAGTTTAAATAATTTTGTCGTGCAGCGTACAGCAACATTCATGTGAGTTCAAGTTTGTGGAAATTAATATTTGTGTGTTTGTTTTCAGCTACAAAGCAACTTTTGTGGATTATTTCAACTGCACAAGGACACATGTACGGCTTCACTACCAGCTGGTGATTTCCACGGTCACTGAGCAACTCAATTTCTTCAAAAATATTAACAGTATGAACAAAACAGAAATATACTTATACATATTTAATCAATTTAATTTCCCATTCAATGCATTCAAGATTTTGACCTGTAACTACTGGACTCACAAATAAGCAGGAAATCAGGCTGCAGCATTTAATAGATGCTTCGTTCTCTCTTTAAATAAGAAAGCTCCTGGCATAACATTTCATTCCTCTAATCCACCAGCTTCTCTTATTTTATTCATGATATGAAATGTTGTTAGTTTGACTTACAGTCCTCAGACTCTGAGCTGCTGTGTTCTGGTTTGTTAAAATCATCATCTGCAAAAATACAGAAACATGAATCAGTGCTCCAATTTACAATTTCAGGCTGAAAACACAAGAATCTACAAATGCTACGGGAATAAAGTTTTTAAAAAAAATTTCAGTTTAGCAAAAGTAAGTTTAGTTTGTTAACTGCTCTGGCATCACCTTTACACAGACACTTTCAACACATACAGATCAATATTTAATCCAAGCTGTCAGAGCTCACAGCTCACATCAGTACAAAATGAAAATGATCAAAATTAAATCATCAATCATCATAATTCAATTAGCTCATTAAATGTTATTTCCTCCTAAAATCATTTATGTTCAGCGAAGATAAGTAAATAAACACTCTGTGTGTGTGTGTGTGTGTGTTTGTGTGTGTGTGTGTGTGTGTGTGTGTGTGTGTGTACATAATCATATACTGTGCATCCCAAAAGTCCCCGTTCATTTCCTTCTTTCGTTGCTTGGGCATCAGTGAAAGCTCAGACTTTACAGTTCTTGTAAGACGATCACTCGCCTTACAAGTGATCGTCAGGGTTTTTCAGTCCCTGACTGCAATTCAATGTGAGTTTGAGAAACTTTATGGACGTCACATCAGTGCATTAGTGTAACACATAACACAACTTGTGCAATCCATAGCAAGTTTCTTGAAACGCCTCCTTGAGCAGGCGTTCATGCAAAGCCAACGAAGGTTCATCAAAGGGCTGCACTCTAACTCAGCATCACAGCTCGACTCAGCGGCTGCTTCAGAGAGGATAAAGCTCTGCCTGTACCAGCTTCAGGTTATTCAGAAATTTAAAGCAGCAAATTATAATGCTGAGTGTAAATGTGTGAATCACTCCTGCAACCTCCGTCCTGGAAAAGTTCAGTGACGAGTCTCTTCTCTCTGGTTGAAGCTGGTGGTTTAGTGTGCAGAGTCTCAAGTTTCATTTGGAGCTGATTTATGTGCTGAACATAAATGTTTTTATGTTTGTTTTTAAGAGAAAACTAATTCAACAAAAAGTGGAAAAAAAACTCATCATATTTCTTTTTCTGTTTACAAAACAGAGAATTATTATTATTATCATGATGTGGGTTTTTTTTTCTTCCAACAGGTGAACAGGTGTGTTGCATGGTCAGAATCACAGTAAGTTACCAAAGGCCAACAGTGCCAACCAATTTTCACACTCCTGTCAGTATAAAGAATGAATCTGATCTCAGCAGGCTGCAGGTCTCACCTGCAGTCTGTCTGGACTCACCAGGTGCTGCTGCCATCATGTCACTGCTGAAAGTCCACCGACTGACTGACCTGAGAGAGGAAAAGATGATTTTAAGCTCTCTTGTGCTAAACTTGCTTATACAGACACATGCAGTATCATACAGTAAGTCTCTGGATGAGCAGTGAATACTAAATACTTTACACTGTGTTCCCAGAACTCCAGAAAAACAATGGTCTGCACAGCTCAGATGCCAGAAACACAGTAAGCTGTTGTGCATCAACTATTGAATTATTATTTTGTAACTTTGATGTGTTTCTTTGGTCTGTTGTTCAGAATGATGCAGACAGACAGCAGCTACGTCAAATCTCCAAGCAAAGCCTTACAGTCCACATCAAGACCTTGAAAAGCTCATCCATGCCTTCATTACTTCGAGACTAGACTATTGCAATTCTCTGTACGTGGACCTCCAATTCTCTCTCCTCCAGCGTTTAGTTCAAAACGCCTCTTAACTGGCACCAGAGGGCATGATGACATCACTACTGTTCTAGCCAAGCTACACTGGCATGTCCGATGTCCGCATGTCAGATTCCAGTCAATCGTTTAAATCACGCTTAAAAACTCACCTGTTCCATCTAGCGTTTGAAGCAAATGAGTTTGGACTTCCTCCCGGTCTGCAGTTGTGCTGTGTAACTGTAACTGTAACTGGTTTTAATTGTTTTTAACTGTTTTTGTTGCTTTTGTTGTTTCTGTTTTGCTACCTTGTGTGAAGCACTTTGATGGACACTGTCCTTTTTAAATGTGCTATAGAAATAAAATATTGATTGAGTTAGCAAACTAAAGTTTTTCTTCACAAGCACTGAAAACATTCATGCTAAGCTTCTAAGCAGTCATCGTGTATTATACGTTTCCTGTCATTTGTTTCATTCTTGAGTATCTGAACTTTTCTTCTGCTTTTCTTTGTGTGAACATGAACAAGAAATTTGATGTGAGTAGTTTCACAGTCTGTTAAGACGATGAACTAAAACGACCTGGTCCAAAACTTTAGAGGTGGAAAAACTACATATCAGAAATCACTGAAAGTGAAGAGAGATGTGGAAGTGCAGCAAGACAGCAAGAGCAAAGTAACTCTGACGTGGACGATCTGATTTTGGACAAACGAGGTTTAAAAGATAAATGTTTGTGTTTTAAGTGGATTCAGAAGGTTAGTAACACCATTTAGAGAGGACTCAGCCTCAGAATTATCACGAAAATTGATTTTATGAGCTAAAAATGAAAAGTCGACTGACTCAAACACTTGTTAAAAACATGTTAATACTAAACAATATTGGCGTTTTCTTAAAAATAAAAAGTGGACAGCATTATTTTAGCTCACTGAAACGCTCTTCTGGACTCAAACTAAGACCCTTGTTAATGTCACAGATTACAGTACCAGCGTACATGTAACATGTAACATGTAACATGTAACACATGTCAATTTAAGGATCTTTTCATAGGAAAGAGATTCTTCATCCACTTCAAAAGTGGACTTCTTAGTTTGTTTTCATGTTGCCACTCATTAAGTCAGTCATTCCATAAAATACACAAAATGTTAAAGGACAGTTTCAGGTTTAATAAACATTTGCAAGCAGAGCTGTTTATCTAAGCAGCAGAGGGAACCAATAAGGACAGCTGCAAAAACATCTGTACACTCAAAAACGGATTAGTATCCCTCACAAACATGAAGCAATAATTCTGAGTAAAATGCAGCTGAAATATGTAAAATCAAAGGTTTATTGATTTAATAAAATTATATTACTAAGGACAATAATCCTGGTATATACTGAATGTATATCAATCAACTACATTTCACCAGATTAAACGTTTTATATTGTTCTTATGTAACAAATTTACAATGATTAATTACCCAAAGTCAGAGTTTTGAACATAAATATTATTTTTGAGTGTGTCCACATCTCTCAGCCAGTCAGGAAAAATGCAAATGAGGTGGAAAACCTGATTTAATTAAAATGAAGAAATGACCGAAACAAATTTCATGTCAAAAATGTTTTAGTTTAGCCAAAAAGGAGGAAGCGAAAGAGTCACAGCAGAAACACTAAAAAAGGCAAATAATTTAGATTCTATGAGAATAAAGACGATGAAAATCTGACTGATCTGTTATAGTTTGAGTGATTGATTCCTTTTAACAGCAGGTGTGTGTGTGTGTGTGTGTGTGTGTGTGTGTGTGTGTGTGTGTGTGTGTGTGTGTGTGTGTGTGTGTGTGTGTGTTACCTGTTTGCCTCGATCCGACTTCACAGCTGAACACCTCTGCACGCTCTGAGACACAGCAGTGCTTCTTCTTCTGTGTGATTGTGTGTCTGATCACATGGTGTGCGTGCGGTGGGGGGGTAGTGATGGTGATCATGTTTTCTGTACTTTCGCCAAAATAAAAATCTTTTTTGTTTGTATATGTTTGTAATCATTAATCATAAAAATAACTTATTTCAAAGAAGAATGATCCACACTTGAGACCTGATTTTAAAATATATTTGTACATGTACGTATTAAAGCAGGTAGCATTGCGCGAGTGTTTTCCTTTAAGAAATAAAATCATTATTTTTAAAGTGTACTTTGGTTTGACTCTCGTCGTCTTTTTCCAATATTTTATTTGTCCAAGTGTGACAAACGTCACAAATCACGATGTATTAAATGCTTTTCACAGCACATCCACCCTCTGGGTTTCAGGCGCAGCAGCAGTCTGATCACCGCCTCCTCTGAAGAACTCGCCTGACATTTGTGATGGAAAATCTCTGAATGATCATCAGCAAATCAAAGTTGTCCTTTTGTTATTTATTGAAAGCAAACAAATCAAAGTCACTGATATATAAAAGTGCATCATATCAGACTCAACCAAGGCTGAAGCAGAAACAGTGCTACAGTACTTCTGTCACCCCCACATCTGGATACGTCTCACTTCCTCCTGTTGACAGATGACACACCGTATGTGGTGAACAGTCCGCTGACTTTTCACCAAATAATAGAAGTGGTTTCTTTCTTACCGTAATGTGCACCTACAACTTCCTGTTTACCACAGAACGCAACTACATCAAACCTAATAAAAAAACAACATCACGGAGAAACTTTATTAATCGTGGAGGAAAATGTAGTTGTCATAAAATCATAAATACGACTGACAACAAAGCGAATTTATGAAATGAAGCATAGAAAGAGAAACATGTAGCCTCCACCTTTATCCCCAACACTCAGCAGGCTGAATCGTCTTAAAGGATCTTGACAAGTCAAAGATCAATTTACAAACTGTGGTGTTGGGTCAATGTTCTGAGCTTCTCAACTATCTTCTCACCTGAGAGGGTGTGCTGGTGGGTCTGACTAACTGGGTGGTATCTGGGGCTGTGATGCAGGGTGGCATGGAGGGGGATGGAGGTCAGAGTGATGGGGGTTTGCTGGAGGAATGTGGAGGTGTCAGAGGAGCACAGGTCGTGTGATGTGATGATGTTTGAGCAGGAGCAGGCGGAGTTAAACCTGTTGTTTTAACTCCTTTGCTCTATGCACATCAGAGTTTCACCCCCACCTTCAGCGATTTTTCTCTGCCCTCTCCTCACGTCCCTGTTATCGCTGCTCCAGCTTCCTTCAGTAGATCACGATCAAGTATCAAGTCTTTGTAAAACCAGGTTTTCTAAAATCTTCAAAAACTAAGAAAGCAGAGAAACTGCTCTGTAATTCCATCCATCCATCTTCATCCGCTTTATCCGAGGCCGGGTCGCGGGGGCAGCAGCCTAAGCAAAGCTCTGTAATTGAATACATTTTATTTCCATATTTGTAGATAATTTTTCTGTCTTATTTATATACTGTTATTTACTTATGGTCTATATTATTCTTATAAATATGCCTGTGTTTGAAGGACTGACTGCAGACTCTTATGTTATTTAACCATGTCATGTATTTCATTTTTATCAACTTCCTCTAATTAAAGGAGAACGATGGCCCGTGATTTATACCCTCCTTCCTTGTTCTTTGCACCCCCAGCTGGTCGCAGCAGATGCTCGCCCCTCTCACAGCCTGGTTCTGCCAGAGGTTTCCTCCTCCTAAAGGAGAGGTTTTCCTCCCCACTGTCACCAAGTGTTTGCTCAAATGTGATCATCTGATTCTTGGGTTTTCTCTTACAGTATAAAGCACCGTGGGGTGACTGTTGCTGTGAACTGGAGCTTTATAAATTAAATTAATTGAATTTCTCTTTGGGAGCACAATGATTAAAAACAAAGGAAAAGCAGTGCACATCCCACTCTAAGTGCATCTTATCAAAGCCAGACTACTTCCTTCACACACCCATCCCACATGTGGCTATGGCTCACGTCCTCGTGATGACAGCGTGCACCTTTTCACCACACAACAGAAGTGGTTTCTTTCCTACAGTAATGTTTTCACCCACAGCTTCCTGTTTACCACAGGTATGAAATGTCACATGTTTTGTGTACATGTTTAGTCTACAACACAATACAAAAGACATAAAACCTATTGTTTCTACTGTGCAGCAACAGCAGTGCATAAACGTCTGTGAGCTGAGGAGAGCAGCAGCTCAACTTCTGGGGAGAGGAATGTTTTCCCATCCTTGTCTAATGCAGTTTAGCATCATCCTGCTGAAACATGAAGGCCTTCCCTTAAAAATACTTTTCTAGATGGGAGCATATACTGCTCTAAAAGCTGTAGATACCTTTCAGTATTGACGGTGACTTTCCAGACGTGTACGCTGCCAATCCCATAGATGCTGATGCCCCCTCATACCATCAGAGATGCAGGCTTTGAAATGAGCGCTGATAAAACGCTCTGATCCTTGATTCTCTTTAGTCCAGAGAATGCAGTGTTCATGCTTTCCAACAAAAAATTTAAATCTAGATTAGTCTGAGCTCAGAACAGCTTCCACTTTGCCTCAAACCATTTTAAATGAGCTTTGGTCCAGGAAGGATAGTCATGTTCATATATGGCTTCCTCTTTGCATAATGGAGCTTTAACCTGCATGTTCAATTCACTTCAATTTTATTTATACTGCGCAAAATCACAAAAACAGTCGCCTCAAGGTGCTTTATATTGTAGACCCTACAATAATAAAACAAACACTGACAAAACCCAACAATCATATTACTGCCTATGAGCACTTTGGTGACAGTGGGAAGGAAAAACTCCCTTCTAACAGGAAGAAACCTCCAGCAGAACCAGGCTCAGGGAGGGGCGGGGCCATCTGCTGTGTTTGGTTGGGGTGAGAGAAGGAAGACAGGATAACAGGCAGTGTTGGGGAGTAATGGAATACATGTAACGTCGTTACGTATTTAAAATACAAAATATGAGTAACTGTTTTCCGTTACAGTTACCGTTTAAAAAGGTGGTATTCAGAATACAGTTACTTTGTTGAAATAAATGGATTACACAGCGGTACTTCCCTGTTTCATATGTTAGGCTATGCCCTCTCTATTTTTGGTAATTCCATGCTGGTGGAAACCCAAACAAAACACTCAATTAAGAGGTTCAAATGCCTGTGTCTCAATCTCGCGGGCCATGTCACCTCTATTTGCAGCCTGCATAATGACGTGAAGGAATATTTTTAATAATTATTATTAAATAATTATTATTAATCTTTTGGATAGCAAAAACATAGCTGCATGTCATACTATTCCACAAAAACATACGAAGATGCCAACTATCATACTACGATTTGTGAGCAGGAAATATAAAGTTGAACTGTTAAAGATGGGAAAGAAGTTAAAGGGAACCGGTGTATATGTGAATGAGCATCTCACCAAGAGAAATGCTGAAATTGCACGACAGGCAAGACTATTGAAGAAGGAAAAGCACATCCAAGATACCTGGACCAGGAACTGTAAGGTATTCATAAGACTTAATGGGACACCAGAACAAGCTAAAGTAATTGTTGTCAGAGACATTGCAGATCTTGAGAGATTTAAACAAAAGAAACAGAGTTCAGTGTAGAAAAGAATTGTGTTGCTGACTGTGATATGAACAATATCTGATAAGTGTGAGAAAACTAACTAAAAAAAAAGAAGGCACAAAATTTAATATTTTGGATCTCATGATTATATATTTTATGAGTTGGACAATAGTATTGATCCAGATATCCACCTCTAACTGAATGTTGATATGACATGTGAATATTATAAATGGGAAGAGTTGGATCCCAAGATAAAAGGTTTTTCATTAATCCACTTTAACAGTCGGAGTCTTTACAGTAATTTTTCTAAAATCAAAGCGTATCTTGATCAATTCCAAAATGAGTTTGCAGTGGTAGCAATTTCAGAAACATGGTTGAATGACGACAAAGAATTGCAAGATGGACTAGAGGGCTATGAAATGTTTTGGCTAAATAGGAAGAATAGAAGAGGAGGAGGTGTTGCCATGTTTGTTATTTCGTATCTTAAATGTAAAGTTGTTAACAATATGACTGCGATTGATAACTTGATGAAATGTTTAACCATTGAAATTCAGGTTGAAAGATCTAAAAACATATTAGTTAGCTGCATTTATCGTATACCTGCATCCTGTATAGATCAGTTTACTAAAGAAATTTCTGTAATATTGGAAAAACACAAGGAGAAGGTGACGTTTTTTTGTGGTGATTTTAACATCAATCTATTGAAGGCAAACAACCATAATAAGATTTCAGAATTTATTGATACAATGTTTAGTTTTGGATTCCATCCGTTGATTCTAAAGCCGAGCAGAATAACGATGGATAGTGCCACTTTGATCGACAATATTTTTGTCAATAAGATAAACGGCAAGATACATAGTGGACTGTTAGTCACAGATGTAAGTGATCACTTGACTGTCTTTTCAGTGTTTGAAATCAACTTCATTTTCAAGAGGAAAAGCAAATGGATTACAGTGGTAGAATAAAAACACCAGAACAAATTGCGGCTTTTAAAACAGACTTAGAAAATTATGACTGGCAAAAAGTTTATGTGGAAGACACTAATGATGCATACAATGCATTTTTAGATATATTTTTGGCAATCTATGACAGCCATTGTCCAATTAAAAAGTTTTCTAAAAATTATAAAAAGAAAAAACCATGGTTTACACCAGGTCTGGAAAGAGCCTGTAAAAGGAAAAATAGGTTATACAAGATTTCTTTGACACATAGAACAAAGGAAAATGAAGACAAGTATAAGAAATATCGAAATAAATTAACATCTATTATGCGATATGAAAAGAAAAGATATTATGAACAGCTGCTTCAAAAACATAAAAATAATATTAAGGCTACCTGGAGTGTATTAAATAGGATAATAAAAA